AAAACGTTGTGTTGTTCACAAACTGCGTACAACAAGTGGGGAAGACGAGTCGAGTCGTTGTTGGTTGTTGGTTGTTGTTGCGGAGTGGTGGAGATCACGCCTCAGCCCACCGGAAGAGGAGGATCGTGGCAGAGATGTTGTCCTGGGAGCCCTTGGCGTGGGCTCGCCTCGTGACGGCCTCGGTGAGCTCGTCCACGTTGAGCCCCTCGTCGAGCTTCTCAAACACAAACTCCACCGATTCCTGGTGGTGCAAATTTCATGCTGTCAGCACAAGTGGAACGAACCAAACTAACCAAACTAACCTAACTAAAGCTAACTAAACCTAACGAACTAACTAACGAACTACGAAGCGCACCTGGTGGGACCAGTTCTCCCACACGCCGTCGCACCCCAGGAGGAGAAAGCAGTCCCTGTTGAGTTTGGGTTGGATTTGAAATTTAGTTGTGGTGCAACACCCACGTCGCACGCACGCACGCACGCACACGCACACGCACACGCACACGCACACATGCGCCAGAGAGGGGGGAGAGAGAGTGGAAGGGTGTGCGTACGAGGCGGGGACGAGCTTCCGGTACATGACATGCGGGTGCGGGTCGACCAGCACCCCGTGCCAGAACCCATCCTCCTCGATTGGCAGCTTCATGTTCTTCTCGTCGCCGTCACCGGTGAGAAGAAGAACGAACGAAGAACGAACGAAGAAAAAGAGGGGTGGAGGTACCCGGTCGCCGAAAGAGCGGGAGATGGAGAGGCCGCCCACGCGGCCGCCAATGATGAACCCGCCCTCCTTCTCGATGCGCGCTCGCTCTGCCGGCACCTGCCGCACGACCACCCGCCAACTACTCAGCCAACCCAACCACGGGACCGCACACACGACACGACACGACCAACGACACGACACGACACGACCCGACCAACGACACGACCAACGACACGACCAACGACACGACACGACACACAGAGACACAGGGTGGGGCGGGTACGGTGGGCTTGTGGATCTCCGAGAGGACCTCGAACGACTCCTCCCACGCGCCGGTGCTCCGGTTATACTCGCGCTTACTGTACATTTCAGTTTCAGTTTCAAGTGTTGAAAACGTTTCGGAAACGAAATGAAAAGGCCGGTACCCGAGCAGGGCTTCGGAGTCGCCCAGGTTGGCCAGGAAGAGGTGCGCGTCGAGCAGGAGGGCCACCACCGCCGTGCTGCCGTCCTTCCACCGATTTTCCTCCCGCACCGCGTCCTGCGACCTCTTAGCCACGACACGACACGCACACGACACGCACACGACACGCACACGACACGCACATAGCACACCAAAGGAGAGAGAGCAACCTCGATGAACTCCCGATCGGTCTGGAGGAAGCCGGCCTCCATGGCGCGGCATATGCCGTCGGTCACCTGCTCCACCGTCGTCGCCGTCGCCGCCGTCGCAGCCCCGTCGCAGCCCGATCGCTCCTTTTCCTCTTCCTTTTCCTTTTCCTCTTCCTTGCTGTCGTCCTTTTCCTTCTGCTGCTCTTCTTCCTTTTCCTTTTCCTTTTCCTCGTCCGGCTTGTTCTCTTCTTTCTTTTCTTCAATCTTTTCTTCTTCGGCTTCGGCGGGCAGGAGGAGGGGCAGGAGGGTGGCGGCGGGGAAGGCCGGGTCGCGGCAGATCCGATCGTGGAGCGTGTCCGACACGAACGCCGACGCCCTCTTGCCCACGTGCCCGTCATATCTACCACCACCACCACCACCGCACGACACGACACACAACACGACACGACACACGCTGACGTCAGCACTCACACACGTCACGGTGGTGGGGGTGGTGGGCAGCGCGTACATGCCGTAGAGGGCGTTGGGGAGGCCGCGGCGCTGGAAGGGCGCGAAGAGGTCGGGGTAGTAGCGGGCCAGGTCATCGATGGAGATGTGCGAGTCCTCCATCGCCGCGCGCCGGCCCTGCAGCGCGTCGGTCGACGACACGAACGAGAACCGCCGGCGCCGGCGCCCTCGCAACGATTGTTGTTGCTCGCCGCCATCGTCGTCGTCGTCGGTGGGCGGCGGCGGGCGCGCGGCGAGGCGGTGCTGGCGCGCGGCCGCGGGAACGACGAGGCTGATGGCCTCGCATGGTGACGACGACGATGAAGACGATGAAGACGATGACGACGCTGATGCGGCATCGCTCGACGCATCGTCGGCGGCGGCGGCGACGACGGGCTGTGGGAGAGGCATGCTTGGGCTGGGCGACGAATGTGTGGCGCGGCGCGCGCGTTGGGGCGGCCCGGCGGTCAGCATTGTTTCTTTCTCGAGAGGCGCAGAGCTCCTTTGTTCTTCTTCTTCTTCTTCTGTGAGGTACGCTCTGTGTGTGAGCTCATACAAGAGATGAAGAAGAAGATGATGAAAGAATAATGGAAAGAAAACTCTCTTCTTTTGCGAGTGGGGCGCGCCAAAGGCGACACACGACGAGCGATGATGGATGACGCAGTGGATGGAGAGAGGAGAAAGAGGGGGGGATGTCGAAGAGGATGGAATGGGAAGAGAATGGGATGGATTTGGGAGGGGGAGATGAAGATGGCATGCCCAGTGCCAAAGGCAAACCCGCGGATATATATATATAAGAGAAGAGAACTACAAAACAAACGAAAGAAAGAGGTGGGAGACGGGAGGTGGTACCACAACCGAGGGACAGAATGTGAGAGGCGTTGTTGAATCCGCGCCAACTTGAAGTTCTTTCTGATAGAGATCGTTGAAGATCAGGAGCCAAATCAGAACGTGGTGAAACGGCCACAAATAAATAAAACACAAGGAAATGGGCAAACACCTCGTGTGGTGCTTATTTTTAAATTCAAAAAAATGATGACGTGGGATGACCGATTCGGAATAATAATAATATTTTGTTTTCTATCTTTTCCCTTTTCATTTCTCTCTGCGTGCGGCGTGACGGAGGCAGTTAACTGCCCGGAGGCCTGTAGCGCGAGGGAGAAAGACAACAAAGGCTGTCGAGAGCTGAGGGGGGTCTGCCTTTGTTGTTGATGTACGGCCAACGGCGGGTGTCGTCCCTGGCGCTCCCGGCCCAGACCAGCAGCAGCCAGCACGGAACGGCCGGGGCCTACCATGAAACCACCCCCGCCCCCTCATCGCAAGGTACGCCCCTCTACCTCTCCTCCATCTCCATCTCCATCTTTCTCTTTCTCGTTTTCTCCTTCTCCCATTTCCATCGATCTTGGAATTCCAAGATTCGCGATATGTCGTTCTACACGGCTACAGCCCCATTTTATTTGATTGATGGAATCGATTTCGGTGGCGGATGGCCTCCCCTCTTCCTCCTTCAACACTCTTACACAACTCTCTCTCTCTCTCTCTCTCTCTCTCT